GTTTATCAAAAGAGAGGAAGACCCTCAAACAGCAGATGGATTGATACTGTGACTGGAGCAATAGGCTCACGTGTGTCAGATTGTGAAGACGGCACAGGATGGTTCAGGTCTGTTGTTGATAAGGTTGCTGTAAGTCATACTTGACTTGATGGTCTAGAAAGGAATCAGAGTTATTACATCTGTGGAAAATTTGTTGGAGAAGCTCTGTATCAGCTGTGAAAACTAGGCCAGATGCTGACAGGAACAGACCATCAACTATTCAGATTAAGGGGAGCTCTGGTGGCCTAGTGGCAAGAAGCTGCAACTATAATCCCAGAGGTGCACGGTTCGAATCCACCAGATGCTCTGCCGGGGAAGGAGGGGCAATCTCCTCCTGTACCAGTCAGATCTGATTTGACGGTACACACACACACACACACACACACAAATAATAAAATAAAATTAAAAATTTTTTTAAGAAAACTATTCAGATTAAAGAAAAATCAAATCAAACTCACAAAAACCCAATGGACCTTGAGTTTATTCCAACTGAATTTAAAGATCATCTCTGGGTCAAGTTTAAGGCTGTAAACACTAAAGAGCAAAGACCAGACGAGCAGTGGGAGGATATATATATATAAATACCATCCATGAAGAAATCAAGAATTGAAGGAGTTGAACAGAAGATTTCGAGGGGCAGCTCAGGAAGATAAAGCAACATATTTTAATGAAATGTGCAAACAAGTGGAGTCAGAAAATGAAAAGGGCCAAAGTCACTCAGCATTTCTTAAGCTGAAGTAACTGAAGGACAAATTCAAGCCTTGAGTTGCAGTACTTCAGGACGCTGTGGGTAGAATGTTGACTGACCCAGCAAGCATCCAAAGAAAACGAAAGGAGTCCGTAGAGTCACTGTATGAAGAGTCACAAGAATGTTATGAAACATATGATCAAGAGCCTGTGATGGTGATGGAGGAAATTCAAAGGATTCTGAAAGAATTGGCTAAAAAAAAGCCCCAGGAATAGATGATATACCAAGTGAGATTTTCCAACACACATGCTATCCTGAACACACTCACCAGGTGGTGCCAAGGAATCTGGAGGACAACTTACCTAGCCAACTGACTGGAAGAGATCTATGTTTATTCCCACTCCAAATAAAGGTGATCTGACAAAGTATGGAATTTATGACACAAAATCACTAATATCACACACAAGCAAAATCTGCTATTATCCAAAAATGACTGGAGCAGCACATTAACAGAGAGCTATCACTTGTGCAAACTGGATTTAGAAGAGGTTGTGGCATAAGGGACATATAGCCAGTGTTAGATGGATCTTAGCTGGAAGTGGAGAGTAGTAGAACTATGTCTATCTGTGTTTCATTAACATGCAAAGGCATTTTTCTGTGTGGATCACAACAGATCGTGGCTAACCCTGAAAAGAATGGGAATCTGAGAATACTTTATCTTGCTTATGTGAAACCTAATCTTGGACCAAGAAGCCATGGTCAGAACAGAGCAAGGAAATACCACATGGTCCAAATCAGGAAAGGTAAATGCCAGGGATACATCCTTTTCTTTTTTTTTTTTTCTATAATTATATTTTATTAATTTTCATAAACATTTACAGAGATTTTGGGCTTCCACTCATTCATTGTTGCACTATTCTC